CAAACACTTGCCTTTCAACCTCTTCTTGTATCTAACAAGTACAAAATATGATTATAACATCTAATGATTTCAAAATTCAGAAAATCATGTTTTTATAGCAAGTGAGTGGAAGCTGATAGGTTGGGAATAGTACACCATTTGTGCACGATCTGTTTGCGCTTTGTTAACATTTTAAAAAAAATGCACTTTGCGCACACAAATTTGTTGAGCAATAAGTAAACAACAACAAACATCGATGAACCGCTGATAAACTTTATCGGGCGGAAATGGCGGTAAATTGAAAGTGTGTTTTTACTTTCTGAGACACCCTATACCTTCATAGAGATTGCTAAAGTGTGATTGTGTCAGTGATATGATTTCATCTGGAAAATTTTCCGCTATCAATTTTTTTTTCCAAATGAAAACAATTTGCGTATACGTATATGTGACGTAGTGTCCGTACGATTAACGTCTGAATTCTCTATACGTGGAACTCCGAAATGACCTCAGTGTAATTTATGGAGGCAACAATCCCAAAATTGTGCCGGAATGGAAAGACACTCAGCAAACATCACTCAGGCGTTGACAACCGACACCGAGTCTTGACAGTCGTTAAACTTCTGGACTTCTTGATCGGCAACTTTTACTTTGACCAACCCTGCTGTACAAACCGGATCTGTGTGGATGGCCGGGTCCTAAAATTGAGCGGACCGAACTCGATAGTAGTGGACGCAATTGACCTTAAATCATCCTTGAGAATGATACTGGGTCACGACAAAATCTTCATCTGATGTATAAATTCGCTCCATTGAATATCAAGCATGAAAAGATTCGATGAGTTTGTTCCAGTTCAAAAACATTCTTATATATTTATTATCATTGTTCTTAATTTATGTTTGTTTCTGTTCGTTTATTGGCTTGGTACATGTGATGAGTTTAGCTTTGCTCATTTTGAAACATAATTCGAAATTCCGGAAGTGTGAAAAAAAGTAGAATAATATAATCTAAAAGTAAAAGTAGAATTCATTGGGCTTGAATCTGCACTAACAGACTTAATGGAAGGAATTGAATAAATGGTAAATTTATTATGATTATTGATTATCGTGAGATAAGCGTTTGTTTACATTGAAACTTAATGCTCTTTGATAAATCGATACCACAATGCAGGCTTTGCACGTGGCTAATTTTGTTGTGTTAGGAAAAGTCGCTCACGAATGTTACACTATGATATACTTTAGGTGTATTAAGGCCGAAGGTCATTAGGCCAAATGGTCAATATACCGAGTTAGCAATTTAGTTAAGCCTGGGTAAGCTGGAACTCATTCGGACTGATGACCATTCAGCCTAGTGACCATATGGTCTAACTAAATTTTGTAAAAAAAATCAAAGTGTAACATTTTTAAGGATTTGTTCTTCTTTTATCCTAGGCCGCTTTTGCAGAAAATCGTCACTGATGGAACCCGGGAGCTCACTTTCACTTAGTCCGGTCTGACGTATATGTTTTTACTGAAATACATTCAGAACGAAAAAAAGCTACATCGGATTTATTTTTTTATCATCTGAAACAACTAAACATTGAAACTGTTTGAAATGAAGGGATATACTTTTGAAAACAGAGTGAAAACCCAGAATGGACAAAAATATATCACCATCTCATTTTTTCAGATGGAAAAAATAAATAAAATGGATGTAGCTTTTCTCGTGCCAAATGGGTTTTAGTAAGGTCCATGCTTTGGTGTCAATTGAGCAAAACTTTAGCTCATTTGGATTATTTTAATTTAGTAATTGCAGTTTCAAAAAGGATATATCAAAAAGAGACGGTTAACTAAAATTGCTCAAACTTAAAAAAAAAAACTCCGTGAATCATGTTCAAAAATATACCTCTAAGTCTTGAATACTTGACCCATCAGCTGCCAAAATTTAAAAAAATTGCATGTTTGTCCCGAATAGTTACAGCTTTTTAAAAAAAAAATTAGAGAAAAACCAATCGCTGGGAGATGTACTTTTGTCCGGTGCTGTATTTTATATTATATGTCAATCTCACTCACTTAAAATTACTTGAATTGCCTAGTTTGAGATCACCAGTTTTTACACAATGAGGATGAATTCTAGTCTCAAGCATCGTCTATTTGTTCTCTGTGTAATAACAGCTGAATTAGCAATGGCAGAGTAGCAACCGTGGAAGGTCAATCACGCTCATCCCCATGCTCATGTTTAAGGCTTTTTTTTTTTTTTCCTCTGTTCGGGACATAACACCACTGCGACCAGTAATTTGAACTATTGTAGTATATCCCGTGTCCTTAGTTTAGTGCATGTCGTATTACTCCATCACTATTGAGAAATGATGAAGTATTCGGTTTTGATACAGTTGTCATTCTTGCCTTCATCGCAAGGAATCGATTCTAACTGAAAGGTTCCGCTATTTATACCCTTCGGAGTTGGAACACCCTCCAAAGGCGCGCCCCTTTGTCAGTCAAAATTGGATTCCTTAACAACAAAAACAAGCTATGACACCGATAATGACCATGCATCAGAACCCTAGTCTTAACCACTTCAAACTAGGGAACAACGATTAGAAGATTAGGAATCACATAGGTGAAGACTAACTAACTCATTTTTTCCTTGTTTCAAGATCATCCTCGGTCCAGGCAACCCGAGGATTTATCACTATCAACAAGGCATAAAAAGTAACAAGGACTAAGATGTGTTCCTTTGATTACTGAAAAATCCTGTTCCCCTAGTTTGAAGAAGTTAGGACTAGGAATCGGTGGTAGATCTTACATCCCGTAACGTACCACGAAAAGGTGATCTACCCACGTTACGGGGTAAGGCTTTTTAGATTTGAAAACAAAAATACGAACAATAGCGAAAATTCCGGATGAAATGCCTATTCATGGTCTTTTTTACGCCCCTGAGTAAAATTGGTAAAGCTTTTGCCGAAGCCAGCATTTCCCCTCACATTAAATACACACTTATGTTGCTTTTGTTTTTGCGGTTTAGAATCAGTGTAGTGTAAGCAGGAATAAGCGCAAGTCAATGACAGCTAAACATTCGTTTTCAAAAAACTCAAAAATTATATTATATGTCCATGTAAACAAACCACTTCTAGATGTCCAAAAAGTGAGGTTAATTCGATACTGCAGCTCCCTATTATGTTGGTGTACGGTACGGTGCAAAAACGAAAACGAAATTCTCGCGCAACACGAGAAACAGGTCTATCATTATTGATCGATTCTCTTCATCGATGTTCTCTTTCGCGAATAATCAATAGAGCTAATATACTATAGAGGAAGAATAGCGCTGGTGTTCCCTTTGTACCGATGTTGAATAATACCGGGTATAGAACTGTCAAACTGCATAGTTTTTTTCTCGCTTTGACTGTTGTGTCCCTATTAGATGTAAGGAAAAGATGTTTCGACAGCGACGGCAGCGCTATTCTTCCTCTATAGTTTATTAGCTCTATTGAATAACCCGACTGCCAATGAATTTCCCATTCAGTTTGCTGTTACATCATCATCTTCTGTCGAACTTTGCTACGAGCTTAGCGAGAAATTGTTTTATGTTGCCGTGGTAAACCAAAGAGAAAGTCGATGAAGAGAATCGATTGACGAGGATAAGCCCTTTTCAAATGTTACACGAATATTAGCAATAACTAATTCGACAGTGAGCATGCTTAAGGGCGAAACAATTTTCAAGAATTTGTTCAATGCAGAGTTGTAACAGGTTTAATTGGCTATCAAAAGCAACAGCAAACGCACCGACAAACGTTAAATCTAGCGAGTTATTAACAAAAGAGAAAATCGACGAAGAGATGCATGCTCAATGTTGAATTTACACATGACGGAATCCATCTTTGATGTAAAGGATGAGTCGTAAACAAACATTTCATGTAAAACTAAGTGCTCCGAGACATAGAAAGCCGGCGCCGGTGGCGTAGTGGTAAGCATGGCGGCTTCTCACTCCAATGGGTCTAGGCTCAACCCCAGCCGAGGTTGGTGGGATTTTTCTGAAGCATGAAAATCTCTGGTCAAAAAAATGTAGGTGTTCTGAAACTGATATATACGAGCGTCAATTTAGACATAAAATTCAGTCTCGGAGCACTTAATTTTACATGACATGTTTGTTTACGTCTCATCCTTTATGTCAAAAATGGATTGCGTCAGGTGTAAGATTAAGTATTTCTAAGCGTGTGGGTTCAATCCCAGCTGGCGTCGCCGGGATGTTCTGAGGCATAACATCTCTGGTCACGCCTTCCTTCGGAAGGGAAGTAAAGCCGTTGGTCCCCGGTTCATGAGTTGATGGGTCGATGGGTAGGGTCCAGGTGTGGGAGCTGCCTTCCTGGCGTCGGTAGCATTGGCGCTCAGCACGGAAAACAAAATCGACGGAAAACAAATCAAGGAAAAAAATGTAGGTGCTCTGAAGTTGATATATACGAGCGTGAATTTAGACATAAAATTCAGTCTAGGAGGACTTAATTTTACATGACATGTTTGTTTACGTCTCATCCTTTATGTCAAACATGGATTCCACCACGTATAAGATTAGGTATTTCTAAGTGTGTACGTGTAGCTCATTCACTCAATTTTACGTCTGTTATGACTCAATTTTATGTAAAAATTTACGCTCGTATATTTCAGTCTCAGAGCAGCTAATTTTACAGGATTTTTTCTAGGTGTATAGAAGATAGCAGTAAAAATATGAAGGCATTAAAACGTAGAGAGAGGAAGGCTGCCGTCAAATTTTGCACGTCTTGAGAAAAGTTTAATTTTTTCATCAGCTACTTTGAGTTTGTGTCGCAGTTTCTCCTCTTCTTCAGCAGAAGTGAATTGGGGCACTTATCCAACAAATCGGATTTTTTTTTATTTTCTATTTCAATAGCAACCTCTCTACATGACAAACAGACAGTCTGACTGGCACGAAACCAGTCAGTTGGCAAATTGAACTCCCATGAATATTTTACCATCGTAAGCCAATCGGATGTTTACTAATAACAATTTTCTCTCTTTGCATTTTCGTTTCAGTTTTGTAAAAAGTTCCGAGTAGGAGAACGATGCTGTGAATTCGAATGTCTGGACCCGCCCGGTGAGGACGAAATGTATCAGGTATGACACACAATCAGATGAACAAGTTTTTGCTAAGCTGTTTCCGGAGCAGCTTTCCGAAAAGTTCATCAGGCATGATTATATCCTCTAAATTTCATTGGGAAAGAATGAGGGAGTGGGATGTTTGGAGACTTCCATTCAGACGAAATCTTTCATTGTGTGAGGAATGGTAATCATATTTATCAAATTGATTTCAAGATTGATGTGATCGAAGCGCGGTTCCTGGTATTAGGGAAATCACCAACCAGAACTAACCGTTTAAAGATAGGCATAAACGAGAATGGCGTTGAATACGCACTGACGATTTAGACTTACTAGACTTTTTAAATATCATCATGACGGATGACAAAAACAAAGAGGTTTCGAAATAAGGATGGCCAATGGGTGCTTGCCAAGTTGTAAAAATCACATCAGATTGAAATTGAAAGCCTAAAGAATCGTTGGAATACATTTTGCAAAAATTTTTGGTGACAAAATGCAGCCGAAATCAGTCAATGGGTGCCAAAGTCGACATTTACCCTACATCTATATCTTATCTATATATTATCTATATTCTTCTGCCCTTTGGAATCATCATTGGAAATCCCTAAAAATATGTTTAGATTTCTTTGAAATATTATTCTAAAAATGTGATTCCTTGGGTATCTTCTCAGAATTCCCTTGGAACTCTTTGAGGATTCTCTTGAAATTATTTATAAAAATTACCTTGAAGCAAGCTCTAGAATTAATTTAAAACTATATATACTCAGGAATAAATACCCTCGGAATTTTTTTGAAGTTATCATCACAACTATTTAGAAAATATTCTCAGAAAAGACCAGTTCCAGGCCAAATAAAAACCTTCTAAAAATATCACTTCCCCATTCATGGCGCTCGATTCACTACTTTCAAATTCGACAACATTGGATTGTGTATAATTATTTGACAAAATGCTGAACTGTTGGTTAACGCTGTACGTTTTTCAGCAAATATTTTAAATAAATTTTAAATAACAATAATTTTTCATTTAGAATACGTTCAGTAGTGAAAAATTTCAAGCGTGTCATAAAATGGTATGTCGAGGTTACGCGTTATTTATGGTTAGGTATCTTGGATAGAACTTCCGCTATATTTGGCTATTAAAAACTCATTGTTAAAGATGGTTGCTATTATGGAACATGCTTTCTGGAGGCGCCATGAAAAACTTTGCCATTAGATTAGTTTGGCGCAATTTTGAATAAAGGAATCGTTTTGGAAAGACGACCTTAATTTCAAAAGAAGACTGTCGTTAGCAACTTTCTTCCTCGAGAAAGGTAATCTGACTCGTCCATTTTGCTTTTGAATTGGCTGGTGAACAGAAGTGTGTGAGTTTACTCGCGTTCTCAAGTTACGCTTGAGTTTAATTTTTTTTTCGTTTAAGTTTAACGGTATAAGGTAAAAGTAGTGAGAGCACAGCAAAAAATAAATTTCAATATTACATCCAAGAGGATGCACTTCAATCATGTCGAAAATCTTATGTAATTGTTATGACCAAAAAATTAAACAAATGCAGTAAAAGCAGCGTAATGTCAGTTCATGCACTGTTTTAATGATAATTTTGTCCATTTTGGCAAGTAATATTACACTATATATTTGACACGATTGAAGTGATATCAATATTATTTTTTTGCTGTGTGAGTTTATTTTAAATAGTGGTGTTTAAAACGTTTTCATATATATTTTTTGTACATAAGCCGGTAAAATTGGCATACGCGTATTCTGTTCAATTAAGTTTAATTAGTGAATTTGTAAATATCCAATATAAATTAAATAAGCATTGAAATTCATGCGAGTTCGCGTTGACCTCCAGCGCTTGGCGCTTTTTTTGTACGGGCTGGATTTTTACTCGAGTTCGGCACCCTTCAACGCCGGACCGTTGGGTTTCTCGTGGCAACAACTTGATCGCCATTTTTCGTCTGTTGGATTTGTGTGTGTCTTGCCAAGGACCGCCTTTTGAATGTAGCCAAACGGAAAGTAGTGAAGTCGCTAGTTATTCTGTAGCGAAATTTCCCCGAAAGTTGCCATGAGCCGTTGGTAAGGTTCCCATTACGTTTCAACCCCCGGGGACTGTAACATTCGAGAACTCGGACCGCAGAAGTACGAAGCCAATTGCGTACCGCGGTTCGGATTTTAACCAAAGAGGGGGGAGATTTCATCTCATCTCGGGCGGTCATAGCGGAAACAAAGTACGCGAGTACGTTGTTCTATCTCCTCCGCGGAGCGAATCTCCCGGGAAAAGCTCAACTCCGTCGATGCTCATCGCTCTCGTATCAAAATTGGAAACCACCACTACCTCCGCACCTCTAATTTCGGCCATATTGCGCACGGGTCACCCTTCGTCGCTGCACGCCTTTTCCGCAGCTAGATCGGCGTCATTCCTAACCGCCGCTCAGGTCGTCGGAAATTCGACAGCCGCTATCAACGCAGCTCTCATCGCATCGCAGCGTATTATAAAACCTGCGCAGGTATGTTGAAGTTCTGTATCATCACACTCACACATACACACTAGTCCAACACGAATGAATGTTGTAAAATATAGAAAAGACTAGTTCGAATATTTGAAATCTTTTACGTTTTGAATGCTACTTCCTAGGGGAAACGCTCCTATAGTTGCGGTACGTTAGTAGCGTTAAGTTCCCATAGTTGTGTACGGAGTCTCCATACACAACTATAGGAACCTAACGCTCCTAACGTACCACAACTATAGGAGCGTTTACCCTATATAAAACTCTCTCACTACGTTACGTTTCCGTTTTCTTTTACGCTCCAGAGGAGTAGGCATTCCTTCCTTTTAGCTTTCTGCTTCGTTCGGAGGATGGGTAAGTCGGAGTAATTTGGTTGATTGTGTTCGAGCCTGTGGTGTTGTAAGACTTGGCTTTTCCATAAAGCTGTTTTTTTGCCGTTAGTATCCAACGACTGTTCTAGAGGTTCCCTGAGGCAAAGTTTAAACACGACCAGTGGTCTCTCGTAATGAAAGTGGCGCTTAAGCCACTGAGTTGCATAAATACCTCGAGCAATTTCACGAACGGTTACACAAGGTGGAGGAGTTTAAACGACTTAATACAGGGTTGGAAAGAAGTCAACGAAGAAGTTTAAATATTTCTAATTAATGAGCTGTTCCTGCGTCATCCACGTACCACTTCCCAAGTAATACTAACCTACACACCAAATTCTGGATTCGAGCTCCAGTAAAATGAATTGCTGAAGCGTATCCAGTAAAAACATGTTTACTGTAAAAACAGTAAAGTATTCAGTTTGCTGGTCATTCTACTAAGCTGCATGAAATCTCTAAATGAAGTTCGGTTATATCGTAAACTCATGTGAGCTACACACTTAGAAATAACTTACTTTGCACGTGACGGAATCCATCTTTGACATAAGAGATGAGACGTAAACAAACATGTCATGTAATATTAAGTGCTCCGAGACTGAAAAGTTCGTTTCCCGACGAAAAGTACGTTTGATTGAACTATATTTCGCGTCTGTTATGACTCAAATTTATGTCAAAATGCTATGTTACTCTCAGAGCACCTAAATTTACATGATTTTTTCTAAGTGTGTATGTGATTAATTTTCGGTCTGTTGAATATTTTGGTTGATTCTGAAATCAATAGGTGGGTGCAAAAAAAAAAGATTTAATACGTCAGAGTGCCCTTTGGAGTTGGTCAATTATTCCGCATAGTTCTTCGAAAGCGTGGTTTATAGACTTGGACCTATGTCGTGACTTCATTCGTGTGATGATTAGACTTATGTCCAACCCCTACTCGCTAGATGCACATCTCCATAGAATAAACCTCGTGGCCAGCAACATCTGTCGGTGTGGAAACGGTTACGATGACATCGATCACGCTGTTTGGTGTAACCTTTGATTAATTTGACTGTGATATTTTGCCACACAGCAAAAAAATAATTTTGATATCACATCAAAGTGGATGCACTACAATCATGTCGAAAATTTCATGTAATTTTTATGACCACATAAATAAACAAATGCAGTAAAAGCAGCGAAATGTCAGTTCATGCATTGTATTAATGATAATTTTGTCCTTTTTAGCAAGTAATATTACACCATATTTTCGACATGATTGTAGTGCATCCACTTTGACGTGATATCAAAATTATTTTTTTGCTGTGCACTAATTGAACATGCTCGCGTGAGGATCGAACTAATAATGAATTTATTCAGAATTTACTTAATCCTTCTTACAAAGCTTAGCTTGGAGACACTTGAAAGCACTTATGTATTATTATGTATCGGATCACCAATCAGCGATCGATACTGGAAAAGAGAGAGGACAGGGAGAGAGAATTCTGGAGAAAGCTAATTGCGCCAAACCAAATGCGCTTGACAACGACACGCTGTTTGCGCGTCGTCGGGTGAAATATGACCCTAAAACGTGTATTGTCGTGTCAGGCTTTAAGTCATCGAACTGCTTTATGAACTCATTTGCATTCGTTGCATAACGCAGTTCGATGGCGTTGGAAATCTACAGGGTGTCGATAAGTATGGTCCTTGAGAATTATGGGATATGTTAACATGTGCGATACACATGTCACACCATCCCCCTACGGAAAATGATTGGTTTCGAATGTTTTCAAGTGTCTCTCACATAGTTACATTTATGAACTATTTATCTCTTTTTTTGGACAAGTTACATATTCAGTATAAAATTTAATCTTTATTGAATTATCTAATGTATGTTATCTATATATTCTTTCCATCCCCCTCAGGAGAGTTAAAGTTTACTCTGTCTATTGACACAACGTCGAATGGTTTAACTGGTGTTGACGTAATTACTGCTTTAGTTTTGATTGAAGGAAAATGTTTATTTAACTTACATTCTACACATGATTTAACATAATTTGAAATGGATTGTTTCATATTCTGCCACGTATACATGGATTTCACTTTACGGTATAACCGGTTAATACCTAAATGTCCTCCAGTGGGCGAATTATGATATAGTTTTAAAATATTATTT